CCGCCATGGAAGNCAGGGGTAATGGCGCCCGTGTCATCGGTCGCCGCTGGAAGCAACACCATTGCCGATGCATTACCGACAACAGCACCGCCGTCCCAAACGCCTTTATCAGGAACATTTTCAGGCTTATCTTGCTGTTTTGGTGTTTGTTCGGCGTTCAAGTCGTTGCCTTTTGCGTGTTTGGCTATGTAAGGACCGGTCATACATTCTGCTATGCCGCGTTGACTCACGGGCTTGTCCTTCTTACGGCCCCTCATATCTATTCTATGATCGATAATACTAAGTTCTGCACACTACGGAGCAATCTGGCAGCAATGGACGTTTTTGGCTGGAGGAATGAAATGTACGGATCGGCCTCAATTTGTTCCTTATTTCCAAAGGCCAAAATGGCCTCTTTACTCCTTAAAAGGAATATATTACTTAAAAAAAACACTGCCCAAGGGACGCCCAAGGGACACCCATGGGACACCCAAAAGACAGGGAAGAGACACCAAAGGGACACCAAAGGACACGTAGAAGGGACACCCAAGGGGCACGGGAGGGATACCCAAAGGCACCAAAGGACACCCAACACTCTGGGAACCTGGAGCCTTCATTCTATATGCGATTCACATTCATTTCATACCTTCATGAAGGACCCTTCATACCTTCATGAAGGACCCTTCATTCCACACCAAATCGAGGGCACCAGGTCAATTTAGAATGAAGACTCCCTCATTACAGAATGAAGGGAGCTCCTCTCCCTCCTCTCCCTCCTCTCCCTCCTCTCCCTCCTCTCCCTCCTCTCCCTCCTCTCCCTCCTCTCCCTCCTCTCCCTCCTCTCCCTCCTCTCCCTCCTCTCCCTCCTCTCCCTCCTCTCCCTCCTCTCCCTCCTCTCCCTCCTCTCCCTCCTCTCCCTCCTCTCCCTCCTCTCCCTCCTCTCCCTCCTCTTCCTCGCCTTACTGTGAATAGTTTGCTCATTAATTTTTGCAGCCCGGTTTTAATGCGCAACTCCGTACACATCTCTTCCTGCACTTCTCGAACACAACGTTCATTATTGCTAGTTCTTTTTTATTATTTCTTCTTTTTACTCGACGCTTCACTTTTTTCCGGGTGTCACATCCCATATGCCTGCGTCATGAGAAATGTTTGTGACCGCCTTATGCTCGGCCACTTCTTTACACCGCACGTCTTTCCGACTTCTGCGCTTTTCATTTTCATTTTTCCATATTTTGTCTATTATTCAATAACACCGCGCCAAGGCCCCGAACGCAGCGCCTTGTTTTACGGCGTTCCTTCCGGATTGCGCAATGAGTAATTGTGTCTCAGTCCGAGCATGCTCGTCCATTTCATCCAACATCTAGGTTCTTGTCCACCACCTCTTAGGTGGGCAAACCAACGTCATTTTGAGGCCGACTTCTCAGTCATCAACTTCAAGGGTGCGAACAGATTCATCGTCAACCGCGACTTGCATCTTAGTTTAGATTTCGGTCGTGAAATACTCTCGATCGGTTGAGCAGACGAACCAGGGACGAGGCCCCAGCTATATTCAGATAAAGCCCCCGCCCGTACGCAGAGTTTTTAGGACTTCCGCAGCAGTGCGGCATTTAAATGGTGAACTCGACAGTAGTCGCAAGCCGCCGGCTAGCTAATATCAGTATTAGTTAGACCTGAATTGCTCCCTGTGCCCTGTGCATTACACTATGATGAAGGCGACGACGACGACGAGCAAGGCGAGGCGGGTTACATAGCATGCAATCGTATCGACTAACGCTCGGATAGCGCTAAACAAGTCGAGTGTCGGCTTCCTCGAAGCCGGAAAAAGGGCGGGCCCCCCCTGCATCCGTACAGGCCGGTAGCTAGCGCGGCACGTGTGACAATTGATGGGTAGTGTCAACGTGGTGGGAGCTTGTGTTTGTGTTTGTGTCACCCGGGGGCCGAGCCCCCCGGGTTCACTGCTGTCAGTCAGTCAGTGGCTTACATATCTCGCCCCGCAAAAAATAGCGTTTGAATGCTATATCCATTCTGCTATATTCCAGGGGGCAGGGGTTTTGCCACTGTTGTGGTCCTAATAACCGAATTGAAGATGAAAAACACGTGTTATTGGAATGCCCAGCCTATAATGATATTCGTGCTGAAGAGGGATTCGATCATCAACAGAGTATGTTGGAGGCCATGCAATGGGAACCCGCACGTCTGGCGAGGATGTTGGAACGTATGTGGGCTCACCGAAACTCAATTACCCTCTTTGGACGCTAGTCTGGGCTGATGTGCGGTGTTTTTCCTTTTCTCCGTGGCTTTTAGGCGTTGTAGTATTGCCCTTGGGCCTTCGGCTCGTATGGGTAGTCTTACAGGTATGGGGTCACGCACCCCCAACCATGTAACACACACACACACATATCCATTCTATATCGAAATGCCAAAGGAGACATTCCAGATAAATCGGAGCGCGAAGATACTTTCCATGGCTCCGAGTTTGACATAAAGTTACATATCTCGAGATCCGCGGGGCCGAGCCCTTTTTCGGCTTTGAAAAGCCGGCCCCCTAGTCGGTTGCTGACCATATGAAGTCCGGTGCTGTATCTGATGTTTATCCTCGAAGCACCAGCGTCAACAGCAATCTACCCCACTGCCGCGAGCATTATCGCGGCACGCTGCAAGTCTTTGGAGGCCCCGAGCATAGGCCAAAGTAAATATACAAACGAGCAGCTTGCGTATTTCATAGAGAAATGAAAGCAATTTTGTCAGCCTGCTGTTGGCAAGTCGGAATGCCTGTGTGTTCGAGTTATCATACGCTGCCATCCCAGACTTCAACTATGAGATACACGGCACCTTTTGAGATGACATTTAGGCCGAGAGGCGTTAATGCGACTTTGGGCTCGATGAATGGAGGCAGCCAAAGTTGTTTGTGCTCATACGATCTTTGTTGGCTACAGGCGAGATACCTTGCAATAGAGAATGCTATATAGTACCAATAACGCGTTTCAGCCGGGCGAGATATTATGCTTGGTCCGTTACACACACATGGCCACGTGGCCACGTGGCCGTGTGCACACGGCCACACGGCCACACGGACATGGGCAATCCTACAGAGCGGGGCCCCCCAGCTGGGCGCTTCGCGCTGGGGCCCCGCCCAAAAATGAATCAGGATGGACCAAATTTCTCTAGCTGCTGTGAATCAGCACGTATAAAAAAGCCTTAATCGATGACCTAAAAATGTATAGGTTTCTTGAGTTTTGCAAAGGAAACCGGTTTCACAATGGACTATGGACGAGCAGTTCTGCGCGGGTGAGCTCCTTTTCAAGTCGCGACGCACCTGTGTTTGTCATTTTTCGGAGGATGTTCTTCGGAGCGCTACTGAACACGATGACTTTGGACCTTACAGCCTATCCGCATGCTGCGTCCATGCACGTACGTGCACATACAACTGAATGGGCCTTATGCCCTTTTGGAATTCCGCACGCCAAAGAAACCCACGAGTGGTGGGCACCTTCTTCGTCACCAGCAGCTGCTGCTATAAATAGGGGCGTCGATAAATTTTCTATCGTCTTTAGATATGGCCGCCTACTATGGACGATGTATCTTGGACGAGTAGTTGCTACAACCAGCATAACTACTAGGTACTGCACCACAGACGAAACAATTCGAGTGTGTGCATCTATTTTTACGCGATAGTGCCAGCAGGGGAGGGAGCTGCCGGTGATATCTTTCCTTCTATCGGCACATCACTTCACCACCGGCATATCATATAACCAACATCAACAGTTAAAATAGCGACGATGCGACGACCACGAGCGACGGCGTATCTCCTTTGGAGTTTAGTGTTGGCGCTCATTGCGCAGTTCGGTGAAGTGAGGTCGAGTCACTTCCGTGCCGGCATCATCGAGTACCGCGTCAGCCAAACAGACCCCAGTACTTTGGACATCGTCGTGACGACATGTTGGATGTAAGTATGCAGGACTCACTGAACTGAAGGGTGATATCCTTACTAGGTGGGTACTGCTGATTCATGATGAGATGCAGGACCAACGACCACACACTTTAGTGTGCAGTTTGTAGCTACAGACTGCAAATACAATAATTATTGTCTTTGCACTTATAAGTGTATGTGTCTAACCTGACGGATGGCTGATTGCTGCTGTGCTATGCCGTGGATGTAGCAATAACCAGGTGCTTTGCTGAACGGGCAGGGTGCCAGCTTCCTCAAAGTGGGAAAAAGCATGCAACCACCCTTCGTGTGGGGTGCCCCACATGAAGGCCCAGTGAGGGGCCCCACGTGGGGCCTGTCTCTGTACATCTGTATAGGGATGATACTTTGGTAGGCGGTGATTTCCGTTGGCCTCCAATTGCTCCTAACCTTTGCGCTGAGGGTGCTGCGGACTTGGGGGGATGTCGAAGGGTGAATGTTCAACGCCACACCAGTTGCCCGTATGGTGATATAAGTGAGGACCACCAAAGAAAAGCGTTCATGTTCATCATGCAACGCTTTGTTCGCCAATCAAATGATAGCTTGTGCTAGAGGATGTTTAAGTACATTGTTCGTGAGTCTCAGTGGAGCCGTAAGTTATGCGTTGTAATGGACGGACTGAAGTCGACTGCAGCTGCCGCCGCCAGCGGGCCCAGGCTGCTAGCTAGCAGCCTATAGGGTGACGGAGGCGCGGCGCTTCACATTGAAGCCCCACCGCCCCCATGTCGGCGGTCAAATTTCGTCGGTTTTTTCCTGCTTTTCCTGAATGTGATTGTGCAATAATGTGCGCTTCAAATAGATGCCAAAATTTGCTTCATTGCAGGTACTACGACTCCGATAGTGTTAGTTTATATGGCAGCGGTGGCTCTTACCTCTTTACCACGAATTCGTATGACGTCGTTGGAGATGGCTACGACGCTTTGGGTAATCGCTATGCAGTTCTAAGGTTCGTGGGATATTGTAATAGCTGGTACACAGTACGGCTCTAGAAATACGCGCGAAGCACGACCACCAGCATCCAGATATTTAGCATCCTCGTGCCTGCCTTGCTTCTATTTACTGTTCGAGGCCTACTGCACATAGTTTGTGTGTAAATCAAACATGCATGCACTGCTGCCCACGTAAAGCAACAGCACCACCACCAGTATCACAGCAGCCACGCGTCCAGCAGGGCCTCGACATATTCCCTGCAATTGTGCATGCATGTGGCTGGCAGGCCCGGAGATATATACAGTTACCTCTGCAGCTGGTTAGCCTGCCTGGCCATGGCGAGATAGATGTTCAAATGCAGATGGCCGAACGGACATCTAAACCTATGCTACCTGCTCATATAGCCCTAGGGTGGGGATCTGCAGCTGTACAGCAGTGCAGTGCGGCACAGAACATGTAGCATACTTCATGATCAGATGACACAACCATAGATGGTGGTATCGAAAGACACCGGTTGAGACAAGTGGAAAGAATAAGTAGTCGTCGTGGAATCCACTTGGGCCTCGCGCCGATAAGTTCCCAGTACGACTGGGCGGTGCGATGTTCGGTTGACCATAGTTCACAGGAACTACTCTCGCCCGGTGAAGCAGACGAACCAGGAACGCAGGTTCCAGCTTTACGCAGGTAAAGCCCCCGCCCATACGGCGGTATGGACTTCCGCAGCAGTGCGGCATTTGGACGGCGAACTCGACTAGCAGTAGTCGTAAGCCGCCAATAAACTAATATTAGCATTAGTTAAACCTGTTATCAACGGCAGCGGATATAAACAGGTATTAGTTAATAACAGCAGTGTTAGAACTGAACGGACCGGCATCTGACCGTTAGGCAACCGAGCCTAGAGCTTAACAGTAAGCATACAGGATACAACAGAACAGTTGCAGTGCAGCATCTCTGTATGTATGTTGTTACAGGGTGGTTAACTTCGCCAGCGGCCCCTTTCCCGGGCAGTCCCTGCTCTCCCCTGCTAGAGGGGCACCCTAATCCGTCACCCCATCCGACTTCAGAATGTATTCGTTGGGTTTGGCAACTCACCACCAGCATCCAACCAAATCTAGCGGATCAACGGCGCATCAACTTAGTTCCTGGGTAGCTCGCAAGTTGATTTTATCACGTCCTACATCGTCCATATGATGGGGGGCCACCTCCCATTTCAATACTCCTCAATACTCCTTGCTGCAGGACTGTCGGCTCAGCTGCAGTTCCCACAGATGCCGGAGAGATTTCTGCATCCAACTGTTGCCGCATCGATGGCCTTGTTGGTGGAGCATATCCTTACGCTTTGGATGACTTTCGCTTTGCCGTGAACTATGTCCCCGGCGTGAATTCATCAATCGTCACCCAGGCGCCGGCCGTCATGCTCGTGGGAAGAGCAGCGAGTTCAGGGGTAAGGACAACAACAAGGGCGGGGAATGTGTGCACAGTCGGTACCTGTGCAGGTACAGACGTGTCTGACATGTATCACAAAAGGGGGTGGGGAGCTACTTAGGCAGGTAAGCGGAATTCTAGGGTAGGGTGGGGTACCAAGCAAATGTCATTTGCATATGCATGGCACCAGGTGAAGTGTGTCTCTAGACGGTTCAGGCCCCGCCCCAGCCAGTCCTGCCCCACCCTGCTGGCTCACGCGGGTGGCACAGCCTGTAAGACCAGACAAAGAGTACTCTTGGAGGCCTAGGTGCCAAGGATAGCTGATCCCTTCTCGAGCTCGTACTCCTTCCCCCATCGGACGAACGTCCTTGGGATTTTTTATTTCGTCCGTCTTTGTCCGAGTTGGAGATTTTCTATTTTCTCAGCATGTTAGACTTATCGCCCACCCTGGGATCTACTTTGCTTTAATTAAGGAGGGTGTGGCATTATGTCTGGAGAGCTTCATGTCGTACCCAGAATTGATCTGGGGAATTCCCATCACCCTGCTGGCTAGCAACTTGCACCAATATTGGTACATTAATGTAGAAGTACTTGAAGAAATGCCATGGGAAACCGAATCTACAACTCTGATCGAAGTCCACAAACTATATTGCCATAATACATACACCAGCTCATTATGTCACAGATAACTTAATTGAGCTTGCCGCGCAGCATTGCATTGGCGCAGCAGTGCAATGAAATACTGTTTGCATCCTCGGTGGATTTGCAATTGTATGCATCCGTTGTTTCGTCACCATGCACATGCCTAAATACACGTGCACGTATCTTTGCTGGTGTTGCCCAGCCACGATGTTCATCTTTCTGCTTCATATCTCGTATACGTATCAATCACCATTAGAAGTAAGTAATAATGGGTATGCGTGTAGTATCCTGGGTATCACGGGATCTGTCATCCGCCGATCGGTTCTTTTCTGCAAAAAGACATGATACAACAATGGCAGGCGGCTGGCAGAGGTTAAGGCCTGACTTCTGCTCCCGGCGCGTCCGGGTTTAAATCCGCCTGCCGACCTCTCGGGGTGTTTGAGAGGTGGTGAAATGGGAGGTGGCCCCCCATCTTGTGGACGGTGTAGGACGTGATAAAATCAACTTGCGAGCTGACCAGAAACTAAGTTGACGCGCCGTTGATCCGCTAGATTTGGTTGGATGCCGGTGGTGAGTTGCCAAACTCAAAGAGTACACTCTAAAGTCGGATGGGGTGAATGGATTAGGGTGCTCCTCTAGCAGGGGAGAGCAGGGAACTGCCTCGGGAAGGAGGTCACTGGTGAAGCTTAACCACCTTGTAACAACATCAACATTAACAATGGGAAGCAAATACAAACAAAGGGCAAGCGGATCTGGAAGACGCACTGGACAACATTGGACTGAAAAATTACTGATGGTGGTGTCGCACCTGTGCCTGGTACCTGCCCTGCCTCCATTTGTATGCTTGGACAGACCTACGCCTACACCTTCGTGCCGGCTGTCAGTTCCCACGGGGCGTCCATCGACTGCTCCATCAACACAGGGCTCGCCAATACAGCTCCTGTGAGTTGTACAATGTTGCACATGTGCTGTACAGCTTCTCTTAGTAACATAGTAAAAGCATGCCCGTGCAAACACGCTTGCCTGCCTTTCCAGATGTGCTGCCATGCATGTGCCATGTTGTGTGTGCATGATGCATACAAGCACTGTAGTATCTGGCCTCTGAAAAGTCCTCTCGAGATGCTGGTTGAGCGATTCGCGTGTATTTGTAGTTGATATGTGTGCCGTACTGTGTACCAGCCACTACAAGCACGCGCACCTGCCTACCGATCCTGTAATCGCATGCATGGCTGGCACAATGACGATGTGCGCATACCTGTGCATTCAGTACCATGAATCCATCATTTTGCAGCCCCGCTGTTGAATCTAACCACCTTCCGTACCATATGTCACCATCGAGCCACTGTAGTGCATATTTTTTTGGTGTGTGTGGTTGTTACAGTGGGCTCCAGACTCACGAAGAGTAGAGCTAGCAGGCCAGCTGGCCATGCAGCAATGCACCTGAGACCAACAGGGCAAACAAGACACCCATCCAGACCAGACAACGCAAGCGTCACCTAGACAGCAGTAAGCGAGCCCAAAGGGAAGGCTCAGAAACCCACAACCACTGGGGAATTTGCCAACATACTCCCCAAATGGCGAAAGTCCTCAGACCCCCACCAGAAGGCTGACCAGCAAATCCTGACAGGAACTTGCATGTTGTCACTAAGTGAGGCCAGTGCCCCAAAAGTTCCCGAATAAAAAAAACAAAGAAGCAAAAACAGGTGATAGCTTATCATCCATCGGCGCTGCTCCCCTGAACATAACAACATGTCGGACACAATGTACAAAAAGGTGTGATTGACCCAACAGAATCCCATCTTTTCCGTGGAACTCCCAGAGCTGCGAAACCCCGAAGGCGGCCCCCAAACAACTCGATCAGTTCTGTACGGCAAGGGCCAGGTAACAGTGCCGGGTCGATGTTTATGGCTGCAGCCATATACCGCCGCCCGTGCTCCATAGCTGACACCGCAGCAAGAGCCACGACATCCCAAACACATTGTGGCACTGTTGGGGTAGCTTGGACAAGCCAAAGCTGTTAACGTGACAGAGTGAGTTGGTACGCTAGTGCCTGTGCCACTGGACAGGCCCAGAAATGGTCACCGTCAGGGGATACACCTCTCGGGAACCTACTGGATAACCTCCACAACCTCACACTGCTGGCGCCAGATGGCCGCGACATCCTGAGATGGGAACTTCCTAACCATGGCACCCCATCAACCGTGAGACGCCGCCAGATCTTTTTTTCATTTTCCCATCACGTGTGAGATCGTAAACGATGGAAAAAGCAGGAATAGCCTCAACCAGTACCTCAGAAGAGCCCGTCGCCTATTAAACCATGACTTTAGAAAAGTAAGTGGGGTCCATTGTTCATGCAGTTTTACGGCAGGAGATAACCGATGCTCTGACCAACCCGGAATGGGAGGGTTGAGGAACCTCAATGTAACGACTGTTTTCCTTCGTGGAGTGCAATATGTGGAGCGGAATACCGCCAGAAGTCGTGGGGGTAAAGGAGCATGTTGACTGGTTGTTGAGTAGACCTCTCCCCCAAGGAGCGGTGATAACGGCACTAAGGGAGTGTTTGATGAGCGGCTGGGACCATGCGTGTCTGACTGTCTTGCCAGAGGAGTACCCATCAGATGGGAAGCAACCGGGAGTGCAAATGGCGAAGTATAAGCACTGGATGGGGCTGACCTTTCCAGGAGCCGCAGCCGTCATGTGGCCAACACATGCTAAGGTTTTCATTCCTCGTTTACCACATCGTAAGCTAATGCAGTTTGGTTTATGTTGCTGGGCTTTGGAGGCAAACAGAGCACGAAGGGGCAAGTACCATGTCCCCAGGGAGCAGCGGTTTTGCCACTGTTGTGGTACTAATAGCCGAATCGAATAGAATGAAAAACACGTGTTATTGGAATGCCCAGCCTATAATGATATCCGTGCTGAAGAGGGATTTGATCATCAACAGAGCATATTGGAGGCCATGAAATGGGAACCAGCAGGTCTGGCGAGGACGTTGGAACGTATGTGGGCTCACCGAAACTCAGTTATCCCAGTTGGACGCTAGTCTGGGCTGATGTGCAGTGTTTCCTGTTCTCCGTGGCTTTAAGGCGTATAGATATTGCCCTTGGGCCTTCGGCTCGTATGGGTAGTTTTACAGGTATGGGTTCACGCACCCCCAACCATGTAATACACACACAGAAATACATACATACACACACGCGAGAAAAGTACCGATCGGCAGATGCAGATACAGCTATAAGCCCAGGGCACTACAATTATCCCCCCTCTAACAGTAGAGGGTATCCTCAAGCTTAGCCTATCTCAGGTTCCCTCTGATGTCAGCATCCACAGGTTAACCAGCGACCATACATCGCCTCTTTGATAAACAGGGTACATGCTACTCGAGGAGTATGTATGTGTGATACTGCACAGACTTAACGATGGCGATCATTACTCTAGTAGTAAGGTGGAAGAAAACTCTAAGGAGCGAGGGAAGTTTGTCTCAGATAGAGTGCTGCTGCATGCTATCCATTACATGTGCATGTACATCCATTATGCTCAGGTTAGGTACTACTGGTAAGGCTTGGGCCATTGCCCCCGGGAGATCCGGGATAGAGATCTGTCACGGTCGAAAATGCTCCCGATGATGGAGAGTAAAATGCCCCTCGATTATGGACGGTGGTGGCCTGCTATAAAGTTAACCTGTGAGCCAATCAGGAATGGAGTTGCGCCGTCGTCGATCCGGCAGATTCCGTTGGATGCTGGTGGTGGGTGCGGAACCTAAGCGATCCACCGAGAAGTTAACTAGGGTGACTGGATGAGGGTGCCCGAAATACCGGGGAAGGCAGGGTTTCGCAGGGTAGCTGCCACGGGTGAAGATATACCCCCCTGTCCCACACATCAAATTTTCTTGTTCACTTAGCTAGCTAGGTAGCTAAGTAGCTATAGCTACCATTCCTAGCGCCTTAGCTAGCTTGACCTCGTCTCAAAAAGATTCCCTAAATTTATTGCATTTCTTTTCTTGCACTGCTTCCATTGCAATCTCACACGATATGTACGCATTTACACCCGTGCGCAGGGGGAGCTAACTGTTTTCACAGTACCAGGGGGATGCAGGTACGTATACGTAGGTTATTGTCATACGATACAATTTTAAGACATCTGAGGAGCATGTGCCATAATAGAACCGCGGAGGCATCTACGAGCTATATAAAGGATAACCTTTCAAGCTACCAATTTCTTTTCTCTAGAGGCGGTGCAACAAGACGTCGTAATCCGCGATTCATACTTTGGTACTCGGTCCGCTTCGTCCCGCCGCCGCTCTCCAAGTAGCAAATATATTTTTCATTGAACTTGGGCCATTTGGCAATAACGCGCATTTTTTAAGGCTATGTAAAAAAATTACTTCGCCAAAAGCTCGTACACGGGCATACAACGCGTTGTACGGTCACTGTTTACTGACCATTGTATAACCCCGGCGGGTTATAACCCCGCCATCGTTAACCTTGCTTCCTGATCCGTGCTAATCCGCGGGATGTTTTCATATGCCAGGCTTTACCCCGTAATCCGTGACCTTTAATCCAAGTGGAAACACCCCCCGAGATAGGTAGATGGCAAGACATGAAAAAGTTTTACATGTTGGATGTACCGCGGCCGCACTGGCCAGCAACATTATTGCGTCATTACACAATTTCTTTTGTTCTTCCTGTTTGCTGAGTCTAGTGGTCTAGGGACATTATGTCACCGTGCATGTGTCACCGCCCTACCAAAATGAAACCGTTTTAAGAGCGCTCTCAACGTGACCTTAAGCCATATAAAGCACAAGTGGATGCCGCTGTTAAGAGCGTTCTGAGAAGACCCTTATCTGCCATATTTTAAGATTGTGCCTTCTCAAGCGTTCTTAAGCGATCTCAAGAGAGCGCTCTTTGCAGGGAATCTCAAGCGTTCTCAGCGATCTTACCCGTTCTCAAGGACATTCTCAACCCATTTTCTCACGCATAAGCAATCCTTCACCACTCTCAAGCGTTCTCAAGCGTTCTTACAGCGTTCTCAAGCATTCTTACAGTGTTCTCAAGCGTTCTTAAACCGTCCCCCAGCGTTCTTAAACCGTCCCCCAGCGTTTTTACAGCGTTCTCACACGTTCTCACAGCGTTCTTAAACCGTCCCCCAGCGTTCTTAAACCGTCCCCCAAACCGTCCCCCAGCGTTCTTACAGCGTCCCCCAGCGTTCTTACAGCGTTCTCACAGCGTTCTCACAGCGTTCTCACAGCGTTCTCACAGCATTCTCAAGCGTTCTTAAACCGTCCCCCAGCATCCTTACAGCGTCCTCAAGCGTTCTCACAGCATTCTCAAGCGTTCTTAAACCGTCCCCCAGCGTTCTTAAACCGTCCCCCAGTGTTCTTAAACCGTTCTTAAGGGCGCCTTCAAACAGAGGTATACCCAACAAAAACCTAGGGCCACCATCTCGCTAGAGCCCGATTCTCACAGCAGACCGCTTTCTCATTCGGGCAGACACACATATGAGGTCCAGGTCCACCACGCCAGCACTTATACCTACAACATATCTACAATCACACGCTCGATCCATGCTGGAACTAAATATGGTACTGCAGCCTACCAAATGAATGAGTGTTCCGATGGATCCCCGAACGCCATCACCAGGCCTATGCTGAGGGGCTCGCAACAAGGCGCATGGACAGGACAGCCCAATAGCCAAGTACAGCCCCACACACCGCCTACACTTCCCACACCTAAGGTGGTTCCTAACAGGGCGTGTATCACTCCAAGTCCACCGCATCCAACTGCTTCTTGCTCAGCCCAGTGGTCCTCATGGCCCACTGGACTGCGGTCATCTTGCCCTTGACCGCGAGCAATCCCACAATGGGCCATCACACCTGCAGACAGAAGCAACCAGAACAAAGTCAACACATGCGATGCAGACATGGTATCATAGCTCAACCTTGATTTACCTTATGGAAGAGGCGGAGTGGCCGGTCGTTTAGTGCAAAGGACTGGCCAGTCGGGGGAATGTGCACAGTGCCAAGGTCCTTGATGACTGCCATGGCGCGGCCAATCACCAGGAGATCAGTGCAGCCGTCAGCGGTCTCATTGTCCTGTATGTTCATAGGGGTTAAGAGGCCAGGCGGCAGTTACAAGCACGCAGATGGAAGTTCTTTGATAGGGTACCAACGCATACAGACACACAACAGACCGCCTGTCAGACCGCGTGTAAGCTTACCAGGTCGCCCAATAGTAATCCAGCCCCCAAAGCCTCGGGCTTGATGTCCTCCTTCTTATGTGCTCCAACAAGGAAGCAGCCCTTGGTCTTCCCCACGAGGTATGCAAGGTGCCCGTCAGTGTAAGAGGGATCAGCTCCCCTGGCATCTCCCAACTGAGTACTCTTTGCCTGGTGTTACATTGGTGCGAATTGCTAGGAGGTGGGAACTCCCTGGATTGCATCCGGTTACGAACATATCGCACACCAGGCATGATGCAGCATACTCTTACCCCAAAGGTGGATGCCTGGGCGGGCGAGAAGTCTACCAGCTGAGTAAAAACAAAGTCCTCCATCTCGGACGGGGACTGACGAAATGTCAATAACACTCAAATTCACAATCCTACGGGATCTCAAACAACATAAATCCTACGGGATATGCCCGGGGGGTCCCGAGGACGTTTGCTCGAGGGGGGGAGGAATGTAAGAGGGATCAGCTCCCCTGGCATCTCCCAACTGAGTACTCTTTGCCTGGTGTTACAGTCAGCAGCTGTGTAGCGTTGCAGCTCTTTGTCATTGTCATCCAGCAGGGCCTGCCACATGCCCTGGTGAACAGCTGGCAGAGCAGCCCCAGCCCCAGCGTCACTGTTGCCCCCCCTGGGTCCGGGCTCTGTGCCATTGTCAGGGGCCGCCTCCGGCTGGGTGCTGTCAACGGGTGGGCTGCCCTCCTCGTCATCTTCGACAGCTTTGGCCTTGACCTCCTTCTCGTTGGCCTTGGTGTTCTCCTCCTCCTCCTCCTCTTCCTCCTCCTCCTCCTCCTCAGATGCGTGGCCTGCATACATAGACACTGCACACGTTAGTTGCTAGGTTGCCTAATAGGTGTCCAAACCCGGAAGGCCTAGGAGAGCAAGAAATTCCGAGCACGTTGCTGGCCAGGTAGAGCTGTTTCAAACCCCATCGCACCTCCTTTCTTTAGGTGCCGTGTGTTCCTCCACTTGGTCTTAGTGGCGCCGCGCAGCTTCTCAAAGACGAGGTCCTCCGTGACCTTTTCATGCCTCTTCATGCCCACCAGGGAAGCAACTTTGCCAACCCCCCCAAAGTCCGCAACGATCTTTGCCAGGCGCGGCTTCAAGTTCTGCAAAAGCACAAACAACAAAAGCATGCACTGTGGTGTAGATCTGTGCTGGATCTGGCGTCATGCACTGTGGTGTAGATCTCTGGTTTCTCCCTCTAGGACATGGTGCTTGTTCGATGAAGAACATCAATCAGCCAGTGGATAGGAATAAATTGTACACCAACCATGAAACCCCACCCACGCACCCACTCGATGTTTTCGAAGATGCTCATAGCAAGGAAGTCGTCCCGGAAGTCGTCAAAAATGCGGTCTGTAACAGTGGTGCTGGTCCTGCAGCAGCGTGTGCTGGACCGCTTGGGCTTCTTTGCACGACCCCCGCCACCCTCACACATAGCTGCCAGGCCGGCAGAGAGGCGCTGAAGCTCCACGTGCTTGAGCGGCTTGGGCCCCTCCTTCAGGACGGTCACAAGTTGGTCTGTGAACGCCGTGGCAGCCTGCCGCCTTGGATCGGTGAAGTCCTCCCCACATAGACTGCCCGCGTCGCAGAGCTTCTCACAGACCTCATAGGCGCGAAGGAAAGTACCCTCGTTGCTTGCAGACAGGGTGTACTGGGATGGCCAGCTAAGGATGGCCGCCAGGACACGGCCGGCCTCATTGTTGAGCGTAAGGCCGTGTGAATCAGCGAGCTGCTTTTGCGCATTGGTGAAGATGCTGAGGTAGGCGTCAGGGTCAGGTGCGACCTCCACAGCAGCTTCCACGGCTGCATCATCGTCGGTCCTGGGCCGTTTTTTCTGCGCTGCAAGGAGGAAATGGGTTGGGATGTGTTGCCTTTGCATGCATTCATTTTATTTGCCGACATTGACATGGAGCAAGGCATCCCATGAAAATGCACAAAATGCACGTGATGGCAAACACGAACCTAATTATAAGAGAAACACTTGTAACCCAGATCGCGTCAAACAGTATAATTTGGAAGATGGGAATGAGAGAAATGGTCTGCGGTAACCGTATGATGGGAAAATGAATGGTTTGACCCGATCCGGACCCGGTCATACCTTATTGCGGACCGCACCCTCGGCGGCAGCGGGTTTCCTCTTTGTTGCAGCACGCATAGTAGCAATACGCGCCAATTGTCGAGGGTGTCCTTCTTCAGCTCCTCGTCGCGAGCGCTGTTTTGGCGGGCGAGATGGAGGCTTGCTTGAAGGCCTGGCGACCTGTAGTCCAAGGCTTGCTAGCTTCTCTAAATTCCTCTGGATGATGAGAGCTCTCTCTTCTTCAAGTGTGTTCCTCAACGACCGTTCTGGGGACACAGACCTCGAGGACCCCTGCCCGCTATGCGGACTATTCTGCCTGGATGTCATCTACAAAATATGAGCACATAGGCTTCGATACGTTTCTACTGTCCAATTCTGCGAAGTTAAGACCAGGATTCAGCATAATTTTCAAGATGCTGTACACTTCCGGACCAGGGTCCGGAATTGCACGGCATTTCCCCTCTTGCTGCCCAGAAGTCATGTGAACGTGGACAATTTGCAGCACCAATAAGAAACGTCACTGCGTTTAGCACTATGTGATTGCTGTGAAAATGGCACCATCTGGTACCTTTATGCAGATACGCGACCTGTACTTACAGAAGACGGTACCGTGCAAGGAACGAATATCCAAAATCCTTCGCGCACATGAGCTACTGCATCGTTTGTGCGGGTTAGAATAGCACAGGTAGCAAGGCAGGTAGCTAATTGGGCGACCAGCCACTCGCTCGCATTACTGCATGATTGCATCTATCTCCTCCCAAAACTCGAATTCAATCCCTGTACTACTCTTTCATCTTTAGCACATAACACTCACCTGCACCCTTCCTTACCTACTTCTTGGTCACGCCTGCATTATGATGATGTTTGCATGCTCCATTTATGGCGGACACGGCAGTCTTGGATGGCGCAACTTTGAATATAATCTCGGCGCCATGACTGGTGTTGGACTTCGGATATCTGAACCGTCCACGGGACACTACTCTGACATCACCTTCCTTCTGGTGCGTTGTGTAAGCATATCTGTGTACATGTATGATGTGTGAAACAGGGGGGTGTATCTTCGCCCGTGGCAGCTACCCTGCGAAACCTTGCCTTCCCCGGTATTTCGGGGCACCCTCATCCAGTCACCCTAGTCAACTTCTCAGTGGATCGCTCAGGTTCCGCACCCACCACCAGCATCCAACGGAATCTGCCGGGTCGATAGCGGCCCAACTCCGTTCCTGGTCGGCTCGCAGGTTAACTTTATCCCAGGTCACCACCGTCCATCATCTAGGGGCGCTATGCCTTCCACCATCGGAAGGACTTTGACCCTAATGGGTATCAATCCCGGGATCTCCCGGGGGCAATGGTCGCGCCTTAGCAGTAGTGTCAAACCCTATATATGTATGCATACATGTACACATGTACATATGTACAGCTTTGTGTGTGCATGTGCGTCTGTATGTATGTGCTCCTTGTGTGTCCGTGCATGTGCTAGCGCTATGCCGGCGGTATAGTAGCAAGGGGCGAAACAAGTCGGGTGTCGGCTTCCTCAAAGCCGGAAAAAGGGCGGGGCCCCCCTGCATCCGTACAGGCCGGTAGCTAGCGCGGCACGTGTGACAATTGATGGGTAGTGTGAACGCGGTGGGAGATGTGCTTTGTAGCAGCAGTGCTGATGGTGTGAGAGCTAAGCTTGCACCGGCAGAATCGTCAGCACCACCTGCGGGCTCCACGCGAATCACATCCATCCCGGGTTCATGCCGCATGGACAGTGCGGCAGACCGCAAGTCGGAATGCCCGTGCGGGCAAATGGTAACGAAAGCTGGGTGAATTTCGGTGCTGTCTGTGATGTCTATCCCCGAAGCGCCAGCGGCCTCAGCAATCCGCCTCACAGCCACGGGCTTCATCGGGGCACACCGCAAGTCTCCGGAGGCCCCGTGCATTGGCCAAAGTAAATGTACAGACAAGCAGCTTGTGTATTTCATACAGAAATGAAAGCAAATTATGTTGGCCTGCTGGTGGCAAGTCGGATTGCCCATGCCGGCAAATGGTAACACAAGCTGGGTGTTCGAGTTATCATACACCGTCATCTCAGAATTCCATTATGACATACGCGGTACCTTTCGGGATGAAATTTAGCGCGAGAGGCGTTGATGTGACTTTGGCCTCGGTCAATTGAGGCAGCCAAACTTGTTTGTGCTCATATGATTTTTGTTGGCTACATGCGAGATACCTTGCAATAGAGAATGCTGTATAGTACCGATAACGCGTTTCAGCCGGGCGAGATATTATGTTTGGTCCGTTACACACACACGAACACACACACGCATACACATACACACACATACACACACATACACACACATACACACACATACACACACATACACACATACACACACATACACACACATACACACACATACACACACATACACACACATACACACACATACACACACATACACACACATACACACACATACACACACATATACACACATATACACACATATACACACATATACACACATATACACATATACACACACATATACACACATATACACACACACACGGACATGGGCAATCCTACAGGTCGGGGCCCCCCTGGGCGCTTCGCGCTGGGGCCCCGCCCCAAAAGCCTCTCTAGATGTTGGCAGCGCGCTCTAGTGCATATATGTACTGATGGTGTGTGGATACTGTACGACAGCTACGATAGTCCCCCTTCTCAAGGGGCTGGATCGTCTGGGGCCCTTCCGGGTCCCGGCCACACATCAGCAGCAGCCTGTGCCCACCTCCTCCTACCCCTGGGCAGTGGGTCGAAAACCCGTGTCACCCTATTACTGTTTCATGGATCCGAAACGCAGCCACAGGCAGCCTACCCTACTTAGTATGAGTAAAAACCCTAATGCACATTTAATTAAGCTAGCACTGCCTTTTGATTTCCACTCCTCCCTGCCTGTATTCGTGATTGTTACACGCTTGTGTATGTGCAGATGCTGGGGGACTTGACCAACCAACCTGTGGTCTCCTCAATCACTGTTTCGGAGACTGGTCAGGTGCTGCCGCAAAACGGTGGAAACATCTTCGTCTTCGTGGGGGTACCGGTCACGGTGCGTTGCATGCGTGCTTATTTAGACATGTTTAGGCAAGTTGCCCGTATGATTATTTGTTTCCAGCATATGCGGATGGATGTACTTGATTAAACATAAACATGGCATGCAGTGATCACTCATGACATGTATGGCACAAAACACTGCTGTTACATTATGTGTCGCTGGTGTATGCGCGTGGCTGTGTTGCATGAATTAGCATACGCCAACGGTTAAGAATGAGTTTGTGTGTGTATGTGTATGTATTAAGGTCACAAGTATCTGAGCAGGCCTGACAGTGGCCATATGGCCATCATGCATATTACCGCCTGCCAAGCTGCGTATGTGTAGTAGCTGGCCGCTGAAAAGGCCTCTCGAGATGCTGGTGGAGCACTTTTAGCATGTATTTGTAGACGTTATGTGTGCCATACTGTGTACCAGCTACCACGGTATGGGACTCAGTTACATTCCAGGTCCATCAATATCATGATCCATATCTGATCAGAAAGCGGCAACACAGATAAGAGTCTCAGGCAGATACCTGCATCTGGACTCCCGAGTAAATTTTCTTTTTTCTTTCTTTTTTTACTTGTTCCTTGCTCCTTATGGTACCTCACATCTTGGTGTTCATCCCTATGGCATAAAATGGTCAGTAACCCCCTGTGCAGCCATTACCCACCCGCTACCCTACTCAACCCGACCTTACTCCCTCCATAACTCAGCCCCTTGGTAGGGGTAGGGGTAGGGGTAGGGTGCCCTTATCCTGCCCACACTGTCTAACCTTACTAACCCCTGGTTTATCCAACCCGGCCCCTTCCATGGATTACCTACAGCTTATCCAACCCCACCTGTATGTAACCCGTCCCCTTAAGGGGAGCTGGGAGAGATAAGCTTATCTCTCCCAGCTCATATTCTAGTTTGACATCAGTTCTGATGAGCACTCCATTAGATGTTCCATTTGCACCAGCTTAACTCGGTGCTGTCAGGGCCTTAGGTGCATTGCTTAACACCTGTGTATATGCAGGTGGTGTTTACTGTGGAGGACCCCAATGCTGGTGATGTAGTCACAGCCTCCAGCAGCACCTTGCCGTCTGGATCCACCCTCACAACCACACCCAGCAGCGGTGTCGCACCCATCACAGTGACCTTCAGCTGGACTCCTAGTGCCCTTTCCCCTGCCTCGGGTGTCGTAGTTCTTCTTTTCATGGATACGACCTACTTGACTACAATCTCCACCTTCAGCTTCATTCAACCCCAGCCGCCCTCGCCACCTTCTCCCCCTTCACCACCTCCCTCCCCCAGTCCCCCGCCTCCTTCACCACCGAGCCCTCCCTCCCCCAGTCCCCCGTCTCCTTCACCACCGAGCCCTGCACCCCCCAGTCCCCCGTCTCCTTCACCACCGAGCCCTGCACCCCCCAGTCCCCCGTCTCCTTCACCACCGAGCCCTGCACCCCCCAGTCCCCCGTCTCCTTCACCACCGAGCCCTGCACCCCCCAGTCCCCCGTCTCCTTCACCACCAAGCCCTCCCTCCCCCAGTCCCCCGTCTCCTTCACCACCGAGCCCTGCACCCCCCAGTCCCCCGTCTCCTTCACCACCAAGCCCTCCCTCCCCCAGTCCCCCGTCTCCTTCACCACCGAGCCCTGCACCCCCCAGTCCCCCGTCTCCTTCACCACCGAGCCCACGTCCTCCTCTCCCATTACCACCACCACCACCACCGCCTCCACTTCGCATACCACCGTCGACGCTACCACCACCCTCTCCTATCAGTCAGCAGCCCCCCTCAAATCTTTCGTCGGGCCTTCCACCTCCACCCCCACCAGTACCGTCCCCTGCTCCACAGGCAATCTCCACTTCCCCGCCGCCACATGCACCTCCTCCACCGCCCCCAACCCCATTTCCCAGCACCCCTCCTCCTCTTCCTCCTCCTCTTCCTCCTCCTCCCCCTCCTCGTCCTCCTCCTTTTCCTCTTCCCCCTCCTCCTCCTTCTCCTCCTCCTCTTCCTCCTCCATCCCCCACACCATCACCTGCCGCCCCCAAACGTTTGCGTTCGCCTCCTAGTCCCGCACCAAGTCCGGCACCAAGCAACACGATGCTTGTGAGCTCCTTCCCCTTCGGCAGCGGCTGCATTCTGGGACGCAACGCCACACAGTCCCCGGTGCGCTTGTCTGCACCCCTGGGGCCTATGAATGTCACCTCCAGCACCACCACCTACTGCCTCCTCATCAGCAGCAACGCCTCACTAGTTAGCCCTACTGCTGAGTGCGCGGGCATGGATACCGTACGCAGAGTCGACATGGTTGTGGGTAAGTGATAACGAACTAATTAGTTAGCCGGATTTCCATATGTGATGTCTGTGTGTCGCAAAGTCGTCAGTATCCCTTAGTCACCAGTGTACGTATTTATGAGGCTCACTTTCAGTGCCCATATATAACTAAGAAGGGCTTTGCCGAAGGCGAGTCATGCGTTTGCAGGTGCATACACGTATATATGTACATGTATATACCTGTAACAGGCGTCCCTTACCTTAGGCTTTTCTGCGGAAGTGTTGGGTTGCAAAGCCGTGGGAGGAGAGGGCCTCGACCACGAAGGACGACTAAGCGTTAGGAGCGAGAAGCAATATGGGAAATCGGAGTTCAAAGACATACGTCGAGAACGGTGACAGCAGAGTCTTGAACTCCGAACACTGGTACAGTGATACGAAAGTGTCTGGCCGAAGCACTTCACCAGCGGCCAGGGTTCTTTACCAGGGTTCCCAAAAATTTCGGCCGTGTCCGAAACCCTCTGAGTAACCTTTCGGGGCCCTCCCCGAAAATTTTCCTGTCAGCCGGATAGTGTTTTCGGGTACCCCGAAACTGTCTGAAGCGGTTTTCGGGGTACAATTTAGCTGGATTCTTCGTTATATGCTAGGACGGCTGAATTAACAGGTGTTTGACTTTATTTTGGAACATAGCTCCTGGGAGAAATATTTCAGCTAGGATTTTACCCAAAGCAAGGCTATCTTAGACTTCATAACTGAAAACTCTTTCTGCAAAACGTCAAGTTCGCTGACATCGAAGTTAAACAGGCGGTTCGAGCTTGCCGAAGCCGCGAATCCCTTGGGAGAAGCGGGGCACCTGAGTTGGGCGCTCATCATCAGTTGACTCGGGCATGTTTAACTATGCATATGCTTAGATGTATGAAAATGTGGGATATGGATATGCTTAGATGTATGAAAATGTCTGCGATACAGCTGCGAAACAGCCGCAATGCACATTTGTACTTGTTGTTTGACTGGTGACCAAGCGGGCCTTATACGGCAAGCCCGGTTTCCAGGCCCCGTCTGCGCCCGAAAACATGCAAATTTACGCTGACATATCGTTCGGTTTTCTCCGAAAATGCCTTCAAAAGGCTTCGGTGGGGTCCCCGAAAAAATGCTCTAAAAGGCCCCAAATCCGTTCGGAATGCTCCGGGGCGCACTAATTTTCCTTTCGGGCAAAACGGAAATATCTCAAAAAAGTTCGGGCCCGAATCGGGCTGAAGAACCCTGTTCACCAGGGTGGCTTAAATGCGGCCCATCTGCCGCCATCTCCATTGCTGGAGTCTTGTTGTCGTAGCGGTTGTGATAGCGCAACAGGAAGTGAGTTCGTACAGTTAACGAGTATGGTTCGTAACTACGGGACCATACCGTTACGGTGATTAAGCTTTAATAGCTTAAAAATATTCTAAGGTAAGTTTAGCTTGCTACAATACCAAGCAAGGATGTTTTTTAATATGGGACATCATAAGGGAATTCTTAATTATCGTTGCTCCCATCGTTACCTCTAGGAGCTCATGCTTTTCATTTGCTTTGGAAAAGCACATGTCCACACACAGACCATGCTTAAGAGTTTGTACGGCCTTGTCCCCTTGATGCACAAATATTGCCTTATTGCAGATCCAACGTGCGCGCAACAGAAGCCCAAGCCCATCACGGCAGTAACCGTCAACGGCCGTGTGCCACAGCATATCCTCCAGACAATCGATTTTAATGGTGCGGAGTACGGTGTACTAACGATCAAACGCATTGAATCGTTGTTCCAGAGCTTACCGGACGATGGGCTGTCCGTGTGCCTGACTTTCAACAAGGCGGCTGGTAGCAGGTGCAATAGCCCCCAGGCTCTGTTCTCTGGTCCCACCATCGTGTACCAGATCACCAGCATTGACTTCATGTGCTGCCCCACGTCGGAGGCGCCGGAGTCCTGATGGTGTATCATTGTGCAGCGTCGGCTATTCACTTGAGACCCGTGTGTTTAAGAACCATACATGTAATTAAATATAACTTATAATTTCTGTCCCACTCGACAAGAATCATTTCGTTTCCGCTGCAAGCAAATGAAGGAAATTGTTTGCAACAGCTGAAGCCTGGAGACTGACTGACTGGGGGGAGGGCAGGGAGGGCGGGGAGGGCGAAGAGAACTACAAACGTCAGGCTCTTCACAACAAATCCCAGGATTACCCTAACACATCACAGGCATTCCAGGAAAACACGTCGGCCTTTCGACATGTTTTGGTCAGGGTGAAGTTTGCTACACGAGCACAACTCATCAATTAGCTTTGCTTCTTGTAAGCTTTCAATCGGTAATTGCACCTTAAGGTTGGCTTTATCCCGCCGCCTTCCCGCCCTGTCCACGACCTCTGCCAGCGCAAAAGGGCCCCACGCCTGGCAGCCATACAACAGAATTGCTCGGACTTGGGTTGCAAAACACCGCATTCGCACATCGGGGGCAAACAGCTTCATTTTGTCCAGCTTTGTGCTTAAGGAAAACATAGCGGACCGACCTGTATCACACAACTGCTGACGGCACGCACTAAAAGGCCGTTCTGGCCCATATACCAAGCCCAGATAGCGAGCGCTATCTTTGGCAGGTACTACCTGGCCTGATAGCCGTAACTGTTGACATCTCCCGCTAAGTTCCGACTACTGGGTGCCGTCACATGCAAAAACAAGCCTTTCACACTTTGAGACATATGGTCGCATCCCAAAAGCTTCACAAAACAAGTCCACAAGATGTAGCAACTCAGACATTCGCTCTAGTGACGTCGCTAGCAGACTAACATCGTCTGCATACAACAGTATGGAGACGCGCTTGCTGTCCACAAGGGGTGCGTATACTTACGTGCACCAGCTTCTACGAGGTCATGAGTATCAATCAGATCGGCTAGTGTCTCGATGAAGAGTCCAAACAACTCCGTAGATAAAGGACACCCTTGCTTCACTCCTTGCTTAGACTCAAACTCTCCCCCCACTTTCTCATTTACCTTCATCACCATGGACACCTTCTCGTACGCTTTTCTCAGAGCACCTAGCATGGGGCCGCTAATCCCCCTCTCCTGCAACCAGTGTATTTTTTTCCGTAATATATTACGGTTCCGTAATAAAATGGCATATTTGCGTTCTGCGCTCCGTCATAGACCATGGTAAAGGCCTGGTACGGTCGTTACGGAGCCGGGGCGGGCCGAAGGCCCCCAGAGACGTTCTATTTTAGTATAAATAAGTTATAAATGAGCGATGGGGCCCAAGAAATTAACTACTATAGCTGGTCAGGGTAGCGTCAGAAGGGGAAGAAGCGGCGTCATAAGCAGAGGGAGAGGTTTCCGTCCGCCACGGCCTGCTGGCGACGGCTGACGAGCCCCGCTGGGCAGGCCATGGCCATTTCAGAGTTTGCAAAGCTGGCGGAGATTGTGTTTGTGATGGTGCCAGGGTCAGTGGAGGATGAGAGGCGGTTCTCAGCAATGTCTTTCGTCAAGAATAAGCACCGCAACCAGCTTGATAAGCATCTGGGCCTGTGCTTGCGTATGTGCTTGCCCAGGACTTCTACACCCGCTCGTCCTTCCCGTATGACAAGGCGGTGGAGAAGTGGCTGCAGAGGGCTGAGAAGCGTGGCCGTTACATGCACAACTGACGAGTTTGCTATGCCCTGGGGCATTGTACTGGCTGTGGTGTCGTGGTGAAAACGTATGACATAATCCTGAACGCATGTGGCAACGGACGGAAACAGCTGAGACTCTAATGAAATATTTATTAAATATGTGCTGGTGTATCAGG